AAAATCGGTATTTTCACTTTCAAGTCTTGTAAAAAGTTCAAAAATTTAAAAAAACTTTGGTTATTTCATTTCAGATGATCCAGTGCTGAGGTATGACGTGCACCGCAAAATGTATTTTTACTGAGGCGCCTGCGATGAATTGCTGCCATTCGGTCAATTGTCAATATTTTCCAACCAATATTTCACAGAATATAGTTCAATTACAACTCTTTAATGTACAATAATCCGAAATAAATTTACTTTCACCCTACGCCCAAAAAAAAATCTGTAGAAACCTGTTTTTTTCTGCCTTCAAAGCCCTACCCCCCCCCTTAACATATTTCGCAAAAGCATTGTACCTGAACTTGAAAATATTTAATTAATTCATTATTTATTTAGAATCGGTCACAAAGAATATGCGCAGAAATTTGCAAATAAATTTAAAAGGTCAAAAGGAAATATGTGAAGAATTAGACTATTTAATATTCAAATATATGTCACACCTACTAACGTATATCAGCGCATTTATTTATTTATTTCTATTTTTTCAATTTTTAAACGCCAAAGGTGTACCTCCATTCATAATTGATGAGCATTTTATTGCTGGCGAAGATATACAAATAAATAATTGCTATCTCCTTAGTGAATTAAACATTATGATATTTTATATGCTCTATTTCGCGTGATTTTTAATTCTCTTAATTCTCTTGCATCACCTGGTACTACATATGCACATACATATAACAGCGATTACTAACCTTGCACAAATCATCTAATACGTTCATCCATAAAACTAAAAAAAAGTTAATTATAAAAGAAAAGAAAAAAACTGTTTAACCTAAATATAAAAATGTGCCACCGAACGCGTGACTGTTGTCCATTATTCCCAAATTATAACAAAACATATTAAATACAATGCAATGCAAACACAAAATGCTGTTAAACGAAAGACTTAAGACACGAACTCATTTGCTCAGTTATGGCTCTTGCTGATTGTAGATTATAATTTGATAAAAGTAAAACAAAAAAGCAAATGCAATAAATTTGTATGTCATTTGTTTCAGTGCTCCAGGCCATTTTCAATCATATTTAACATGTATATATATATATAATATATTCGAATGATAGTTGCATACATATGTATGTGAGGTGAGTGGAAAAATATGCCCGACCTTTATTGAAGATTTTTTTTTTAATTATAGTGAGTGTTATTGTTTCAATAGAAAAAGTTGACAACTCGTACATAACATAAATGCAACTGTACTTTCATATATTTTGTTTATTATTAACCGTTAAATACATTTTAAATTAAAAATAAGCGAATAAATTGTAAAATGTTACGAAAAACTCATTCTCTTCCTCAAATTTCATACTTTTTAAATAAAATTTCAATTGCTTTCGAATAGCAACGCTCACCAATCAATTGCGCGCGCATACGCACACACATGTACCTATATTATATAATAATAATATAAATATACAAATCATTGCTTGTCCGCATGTGACCTTCTGATCGATTAAAAAGCTACTACATAAAGATTCATTAAATTAAATTCGCTTAAATATAGTATCCGAAACGAATTAAAATCTCATTCATTAATCTTTGCCAAAATAAATGTTTGTTTGCATATATATAAATATATATATATATCTATAAATATATATGTGAGATAGGTTATAATTTACTGTATGGTTTATAGTGGGCAGCATATACAGTTGATTGCTTTGTTTTTTTTGCTTTATTGGCTTTATAAATTGACAGCCGCCAATTATTTTATTATTGCTTTTGTTTTAGGGTTTTTTTCTTTTTATCAGAGTTATAAAATATTTCCAGTAGTTAAACTGACCCTTCTTTCAGTGCTAGATGTATTTAGTTTACAGCTTTAGTGATCGTATATGTATTGCATGTATGTATGTATGTATTTTTTGGCACTTTTTTGTATGTAGTCAATCAAACTGGTGAAAAGTTACATCGAAGTACAAAAATCATTTGCTAGTTTATAGACAATCTTGATCGAATTAGTTTAATTTTAAAAAGAAAGTACAGGCCGAGTGTTTCTAGCATAAAAAATACTTCTCATAAAAATCCCAAAGCCGTTCGAAGGCGGCGTAGTAACAGGAAATTGGATTAGCAGCCTAGATTCTCATGGTTTCTGCACTAAAAAGCATATCAGCAAAGAGCTCTGCATAGGCAATACTGAGTTTATATAGGTGAACCTGAAGAACTTTTACTGCTATTGCCCGTCTTCTACGCCTTGAAAATTTCTCCAAGAGGACTTCTACCGATTTCTTTATTTGGAATAAGTAATGGCAGCGGTAATAGCCAAGTGATTAGCAGTGTGTACTGCCGTTCGTATGGCCCGATTAATTTAGTATATTTTTCTAATTGCGGTCGACTTTAGCAGGGAATATCAAGCTACCGGAGTGTACGATATAATATGATATAAAAAGGTCTTCATATAAATCCTACGGCCGATTGGAGGTGAATTAATATGAGCTTTAGGTCTCTCTATTTGTTGGAAAAAATTAAGACCCACATCACAAATTGGACAAGGAGATTATGACATTCAACGCCATCCAATCCTGCGGCAGCACATTAGATTTCTGATTTCCGTGCGAGGTTCGAGCTTTTTTGTCTTCAGAATACAACTGCGGTCGAGCACTGAAAAAACTTCCTTTAAACATACCAATGAAACATAATTTTCATACTTTAATTTTAGTCCCATTCAACCAGCTTGCGCCAATGAAACTCGTCGGGGGAGTGCTAAGTTTCACTGCTCCTCCGTGCTTCTGTGTGATTTGTTCTAGAGAATTGCAATGGTCAATGAACGTCACTATTAAATCCTTCGCTCTGATGTTTCAGAAAATCTTTTGATGTTTCACTTTTAGGCCAGTAAAACATAAACTAATCTAAAGTCCACACTCACACACTCACATCCAAAAATTTTAGAAAATTCTATTTATTTACAAACAAAATTTAGATGAATTTTTTATTGCGGTCACCCTTCGGCAGGGAATGTCAACCCCTCCGAGTGTATTTCGGGCATAAAGTAAAAAAGCTTCGGAAAATCCATCAGCCGTTTGGAGGCGGCTTAGTATAAATTGTATGTTCGTCCATTTGTTGGAAAAAAAATCAAGACGCAAAACCACGAATTGGAGGAAGATCTTGGCCGAAAATCGCTTCAGCGGTTACAAAAAGTCTATTATAAATATATGTACGAAGGGATTAACAAAAGTTCGGTCAGTTGGTGACTTTCAATTTGTTTTTGTTAAATCGAAAAATAAAAAGCCTTTGCAATTACTTTATTAGTATTTTTTTCAGATTTTAGAACGAACTGTTAAAATGAAGACAAGAAAGCGCAAGATAGCTGAGGATAGGTTAGACGAAATTCCACAACCAACGCAAACAGAAATTCGCATGTGATTCCCTTCGGATGGTTAGTCTAGCAACTTTAGTAAAGTCGTTACTGGTAAAAAATCTTTGTTTTATGAGTACGATCCAGAAACCAAACAGCTGTCTATAGTATGGAGCCCAATAGGAGCAAGCCCACCCGTAAAACTAAGCAACGGAAATCAACAGCAAAAGTTATGATCTCAGTTCACTTCACCTGATCTAAGATTGTAGCTGCTATTCCACTGGAATAGTGTCAGATGGTAACTGCAAAATGGTACACCGAAGAGTGCTTACCAAAAGCTTTCAAAAATTTTGTGGGAAAACAGGAAGAAAGAGGATTTGTGGCGCTACTTTTTACATCATGACAATGGGCCATCGCACACAGCTGAAGTAATGAGTAATTTTATTGTGATCCGTTGGATCGAAGAAATACGTACAGCACCATATTCCCCGGATATACGACCTTGTGATTTCAGGTTATTTTGAAAAATTAAAAAGAGCTCAAAATGGTAGGTTTTAATAGCAACGAGGAGATAATTAATGCGATTAATACTGAACTTGATAAGATTAAAAAGCAAGATTTCGGAGACTGTCTTCAGAAGAGTGGATCTGTAGGCTTAATGAAATGCATTGAAATCAATAGCGATTATGTAGAGAAGAAAGAAAAGGACAGAGTTTACGAAAAAATACAAAAATAAATGTTTTTTCTTTTTTTCTCGTCAACTTACCAAACTTTTTTTAAGCCCCTCATATATATATCCATTATTTTGAAGCGCATATAACTTACAAAATAAGCACTGGGTATATCAAATAAATTTTCAACCGCATCATTTTATCAAAAACTTGCACGGCACTCCAGTTGACGCTCATAGCTCTTTTATCTACTGCACACCACAAATGAGTAAAGCTTACCGAAAAATAAATAAAAAGCATTGAAACGAAAATAACAAACAAACAAAGAAATAAAAGCCAGTAATCAAAGACAAATTTTATCCAACGCCACACTGAAGACTGACGAACGGCCAGTGCCTAAAAGTGTGCACCTAATTAAATAGATATTACGCTCTCTCGCGAGCTCAGCGATGGCAGAGTTGATTATATTAGAGCCACAAGCACACATGTATACAGACATACAAAAGACAGGCGAAGAAAATTACAATAGATGATTAAGTTTGTTTCTAAAGTCTTTTGTTTGCTGCAGCGATAAGCGAGTATGAATTGGTGTATTGCTTACAAAACTGTGTGTGTTTCTAGGCAAGGAGTCCAGATGAATTTTTTTAACGATTTTTGCGCACCATTCAGTATATATGTATGTTTAAGTATTTTTTTTTAAATTTTTTCTTAATTACGTTTTTTTTAAATATCATACATAAATGTACAAATTTATTTTTTTCTTTTTCATTTGTTGTGCATATATTTTTTTATATTTTTATATCTCTTTTTCCATTTTTTTGGAAATTCACGCTCGAAAAGGTGTAACAGAACTTGTTTCGTGTAGTTACTGGACACAATGAATTTTTTGTGTACCCTTTTTTCCTTAACACACAAACGCGCCTTGCACTCAAGCCTTTAGTATAAAAAGCTTCAAATTTTTTGGTTCAACGCACAGTTTTTGGATAACAACCAACGACGAGTCCTGCTGCAGAGAGCTCAAGAAGTCAAGTGAAACGACTAAATCTACAACTTAAAATGTATAAATATGTAAGTAGATTAAAGCACTGGAATTTTTTATATATACACATATATATATATATATTTACAATCAAATGTGCGCTTAAATATATAATTAAAATATTAAAATTGTTTTTATATTTTTTTGATTATATATTTTTTTAATTAATTTTTATTTTTTTAAATTTATTTTTATATTATTATTTTTTTTTTTTTCAATTTAAAGCTAATTTTATTTAATTTACATACATAATTTTTTTTGACCATTTCTTGCTTCATTTATTCATTCATTCATTAAAGTTGTAAAATTGTAAATCCATCTCATTAGCTTTATTCACAAAACAATATTCCTCTTTTCTTTGTTTTCCCACTTATACGCATTTCTTCACCTTTTCAGCTCATTTGTCTGTCTGCTCTGTTCGCGTTGACCTTCGTCAGCGCAGACAACATTGATAAAAATGCCGAAATACGCAGCTTTCAAAATACCGCAACCGATGCCGAGGGCAACTACCAGTTCTCCTACGAGACTAGCAATGGCATACAACAACAGGAGGCTGGCAGTTTGGCCGGTGTGCGCGGCTCATTGAATTACGTATCGCCCGAAGGTGAACGCATCTCCTTGAGCTACACAGCCGATGAGGAAGGCTTCCATCCGACCGGTGATCATCTGCCAACGCCGCCGCCAGTACCGGCGTATGTTTTGCGTGCCTTAGAGTATATTCGCTCACATCCACCGCAACTGAAAGAGGAGGCATAAGCAGCGTAGCCGAATACCCACATACATGGAAAAAAAAACATTAAAGGCTGTGGCGTACGAAGTGGCAGCAGACGATGCGTAACTGTTCGTTTTATGGGTCAAATGCTAGACTAAACAAATGCATTGACATGTCACGAGTTGACGTGTTAATTGACTCATAATAATTGTTTATTGTTTGATGCCTTATGATTTATGTTTTTTTCTTTTCAATTTTGTTAATTTTTTTGTTTAATTAATTTTTTTTTTCAACACATTACCAACACTTCTGCTTATCCGTATATGCATCTTATGTTTTTTGTTTTTTCACGCGCTAAGCTTGACGTATAAGCGCGCGCATAGTCATTATTTGTAATTAATTGTTTTTGTTTTATAATTTGAATAAAAAAATCAGATTTAGATACCTCAATGCTCAATGTTTGACTATTTTTTAAATTTTATTTTACTTTTTTATATAAATATTAGCAATTTAAATATATTATTTTATCGATTGTTCGTGACACCAAAGCAATATCTGATAGCTCGATTGAGCTTAAGTAGAGCAATGTAGTTAATGACGTGGAAATATACAGTCTCTTAATTGTCTAAATGTTAAACTTCTGTTCCCAATTATGCTCGCTGTGTATAGCTCACTCGGCTAATAATTTTTTTTAGTTTCTTCCACCCATTTGATCGCATCTCCATAAGGCTGGGACACGGAGCAGAGGTCTCAAACGACTGAATGCCTGGTTTCTGCAAAGGTAATGCAACTGCGTTTCTTTCCCTTCTGCGCAGGCTCTAAGCTTAGCCGGTTCTATCTTACCTAGTTCTTGGAGATGATAACTTAGGTGTAGATGCTCTATCAGTATACCAAGTCAAGAATGCTAAGATCCTTTTTGCTTAGTATTGTCACAAGTTTGATCTGTCTGCAATCTAAAAGTGGTCCACTGCATTTTAGTAGTGCAGCCCACGTTGAAATTACTTCAGGACCTAGAGAAATGCTGGTCGGTTCCATTATTTAAAACCGCATTTGAAGGTGCTGGAAGGTCTGAGACACAGCATCACCAGTGCGAGCCAGCTTGTTCTCCTTTTCATTACCTCCTAATTCCATGTGACCTCGGGTCCAAGTGATATGACTGTGTTTTTGCACCATACTCTGTTGATTGCTTCGTTGCATATTCTAATGCATTCTGAAATTGTGTTAACGCATTTAATTGTCTTCGCCCAAAATATCCGCTTAGAAGACAGTGTTGTAGTCATTTAGTTCGAACCTTGGCCATTCGGGCGGTCTGCTTCTGTGCCTACCTGATATTCAGGTCCATCTTCAGTATTACAAATGTCTTTGCCTTCTGCCCAGCCTTAGGAGTAGGTGGCTTATAGTTGACAAAAGCTTTCCTTTCCTGGTTCTACTGTACCATTGGTCCCAGTTTTCTTATAATTTTCGGTATGCCTTTACAGTTGGGAGACTAAACCGAATCAGAGAAGGTATATATATTATTGGCGCTTTATAACCACTGAAACGATTTTCGATGTTTTTCCAACTGATGGAGGGACCTACAGTTTTTACTAAACCACCTCCGAATGGCTGGTAATTTTCTATAACTTTTGGATGTTAGTACGATACCAAGATTTAAACCCTGACCTTCCGACAGCCGCCGGATTCGGAAGATATTATGATATTAATTGATGCTACAGAGAAGATGGCGGCTTAAATTGGTGATTGGCAGACCTCTGACTTTTTCTGGGTTTACAGAAAGTCCACGTTTTTCGCCTCGTTCAGCTGAGATTTCAAGTGCACGCTGAGAGTATTGCCTGTGATAGCCGATTAATATGTTTGCCTGAAGATAGGATAGCAAGATCAACCGCCTAACATATTATCTTTAAACTTTCCGATAACAGACGTTCTTCTTCTTTACTAGCATAGACAACACTTACGCGATTATAGCCGATTTAACAACAGCGTGCCATTCATTTCTTTTTTCGCTGCTTGGACGCCAAGTGGAAATACCAGAAAAGTCAGGTACTCTCTCCATCAACGGAGTGGAGATCTTGCTCTTCTTCTGTCTCCACCGTCGGGTACTGCGTGGAATTCCAAATTCAAACAGTCGGCTGAATGGCAGTAAAAATGAAACACTAGGTGATCCCCTAATCGCTCACGATGAAATAGATATTTCATTGAACGACTATAAAGTAAGTCGAATAATGATTACCCGCCTGGTGAATCACAAAATAGCCGGGCCGATGGGCTACCAACCGAGCAATTGTGGAACGTCGGCGAAGAACTGACGAGATGCCTAATCTACACAAAGGGGGATCCCACAGTCGGTGCCAATTAATTCTGAAAAAATAAAGTCCACCGTCAAAAAACTGCTTGGACTTTCTCAGCATGGCTTCAGAGCGGGAAAATCTAAAATTGACCAGATGCGAGTATTGACCATACGTCATACCTGGAAATGATTTTTAGTCGGTCTTAGCACCAAAAAAACCTACTTCTAAGCCACTAGGTATCCCCGCAAAACCTATCGCGGCTGTGTAAATTCATGTAAAGTAACACAGAAAACTCCGTGAGGATAGAGAAGGAGCTCTATGAGTCGTTCGATATCAAATGAGTGTTCTTCGTTTGACTGCTTTATCCTTATGATAGTGAAAATAATACAAGCTCCAGAGCTGCATAGAGAAGGTTCAACCTCCTATAAAAGTGTACAGCGGCTGGGATATGTAGAGAATTTTGATATCAAGCGCGCCGTTAGTTCTGCTTCCCGCCAGATCGGATAAGGAATAAAAGCGTATGGCATTATAATAGCGCTGTGAGGCTCTTGTCTTCACCTTCTCAAATGTTTGAACCATTACGTGTGGCTTTTGAAAGCATCGAGATTTACAGTTTTCGCTGAGGCTTGCTCAGCAAGACATAGCTGAAGCAGTTGAAAAGCTGTTTTATGAGGAACATGTATCGCGCAGATTTCAAGGCTGGACAGCAACAGAGATAGTGTTCTATAGAATCCTCCGATTCTTCCTCCCCTCAGCTGGGGCAAAAATCATTAAAGTGGTAGCCCTTTCTATTCCCATTAATCCCTATTAAACACGTTACTTGTGATCTCATTCAGCTATCTTAAGTCTGCTTCTTTGGCAAAGGCCAGTTTAAGCATTTTCTTTACCGTGAACAACCGATACACATGTTTTATTGTAGATAGGAGGGTTCCTTCCCCCGCTAGTTAGTCTGCTATAAAATTGCCTCGGATGGCACTGTGTCCGCTTCCATGACTGCAAATAGTTCTGCTTGGAAGGCGCTGCCGTGGTTTGGTGGTCCAATGCTCACATATATTGAGAGCACCGGTGAGTAGATTCCATAGCCCACTTGTCCAGCGAACTTTAAGTTAATATTTTAATGTGTTCTGTACTGTAGTTCTTTCAAGACTGAGTTGCATTCAAACTAATCACGTTGCATTTCGCCTGTAAATTACAGTAAGGAAAGAAGTTGAGAAGAGTCGTTAGTGTTTTTGAGAGAGTTGATGGCAGTACTTCTGTTACCAGAATAGCAGCCGACAGTTGAAGCCTCTCCAATTTGCGCCTCAAAGTAATTTTCTCGGTTACACCGTAGGGAAGGATGTTTCCTTGATCTGTCAGTCGCGTTCCGGCTCCATTTAAGTTTGCTGTTGAAGTCTTGAATAATTTCCTCCCCCTTGAAACCATTATTACCCTTATTCAGATGGTACAATATGCCATCAAATTGCAAAGCGGTTTTCTCAGAAGGTTGTCAAAGAGGCAAGTATGCATAAATGAGCATACATAACCTCAATTAGTTTCAGATCAACCTTCGTTTTCAGTAGATGACATTTGTTTTAGCGTGAACAACAATTCGTTTCATTCATTTGAAACTTGTACCAGATAAAGGGTTTTTGTGGGGAGTTCTTCTTCATTACTTTAACATGAAGAAGGGTGCTACCAAAAGCCAAGGTATTTTACTGGACGTTTATGATGACCATGCTTTAGCCGAACGAATGTGCCAAAAGTGGTTTGCATGGTTTAAAAGTGGTAATTTGGACTTAGACGACGGAGAACGACCCGGGCAGCCAAAAAAAATTTCAAGAGGAAGAAATGAAAACATTGCTCAACGCAGATGCATGCCAGGTGCAAGAAGAACTTGCAAAAGTATTAGGAGTTGATCAAGCAACCGTTTCCAGATGATTAAAATCATTAGAATTCATCCAGAATCTTGGAAATCGGGTGCCTTATGAAGTAAAGCCAAGAGACGTCGATCGTCGATTCTGCATGTCGGAAATGTTGCATCAACGCCACCAAAAAAGTCATTGGCGATGAAGAATGGATTCATTATGATAACCCAAAGCGCAAGAGATTGTATGTGCAGCCCGACCAACCATCGACATTCACGGCAAAGCCAAATATCCACGGTGCCAAGGTTATGCTATGTATTTGGTGGGACCACAAGGGTGTGCCCTATGACGAGCTATTGAAATCGGATCAGACGATCAAAGGGGACCTCTACCGAAAACAATTGATTAGTTTGAAAAAGGCCATCGACGAAAAACGACCATGACAATGCTCGGCCACATGTTGCAAGGCCTGTTAAAAACTATTTGGAAAACTGTGGGTGCCTTACAGCCCAGATATGGCACCTTCCGATTACCACTTGTTCAGATCAATGCAGAATGCCCTCAAAGGGGGACGCTTCACTTCAGAACAGGGTATCAGAAATTGGCTCGATTCTTTCTTGACCTCCAAGCCGGAGAAGTTCTTTTGGGTTGGTATCCACAAATTACCAGAAAGATGGGCAAACATCGTAGCTTCCACCGTAGCAATACTTTGAACATTAAATATATAACAATTTTTTCACAATGGTCTTAATTTTTCGAAAAAAAAACCGCACTAATTAACATACACATACACATACATAAAAATGGTATTTCTTTGGCTAAGTCTTAACACCACCCTAATATAAGTTAATGCATTTGTTTATCACCAAATCATCATTTAGTGATTTTCAATCCTTCAAATGTGCTTTAAAACCACAAATGGTTAACAAATGAGTATGACATAACACAACTCAGCATTAAGAGGCATTCAACAAACAAAACCTTAAAAATTATGGTAGACATAAAAGACGAAGCAAAATCAAACCTGTTGATACCTTTCTTATGCTAATTTTCAAACAAAAATGAGCATACATTTGTATGTAAGTGTGTGTGTATATGCTTATGTAAATATGTTTCATTAAGTTTCTTTGGGAATCTCAGCAAAGATAAATGAGAATTAATGGTATTTTATGCAGCAATGGACGAGCAATCAATGGGGAACACTGACAATAGATTGAGTGAATGATTCACGTGAGTCGCGTGAATGGTGGGAACTGGCAACAGAAAACCATTTAAATTAATTTCTTATTTTAATATTTATAGTTGAACAGATTTCTGG